TTAGGATCCACGTCATCACTTTATAAAATTCCTTACATTATCCTTTAACTAAATGGGAAAATATTTCCCTTGTTTCATATTGTAAATTTGCTCATACTTGACGAATAAAATCAATTAATAAATTTACCGATCATTTCCTAGCAAAAGAGTCAGCAAAGTACTGTCAAAACAGAATAAACTAATATTCAAGTATGTTAGAAGAAATAGAAAACTGACGTCCGAAGGCTATATTTTCTCATGAGAATCGTGTTTATAACATTTTCGGTCGTGAATACAACAAATGTAGCCAAATTTGGTAGCTTCTAATTAAAAAATTATCACATATAATACCTTAAATAATATTTCATGGTTAAAGATAAACTTGAGTTCTGGTAAAAAAAAGAAAAGTGAATTCTCACAGAATCAAACAAAACTTACACTGAATGTTCAAGATTACAAATAAATGTCATGTGTCAAACAATTTTGGAAGAAAATGATACTATAGAGATGCTACATGATCAACTTTTTCTGATCTATTCCACACCTTTTCTTTCACAATGCAATCGGATTACCAGAACTCACCTTTATCTTTAAGGTTAACTAACACCCTGTTTAATGATACCATATTCATAATTTTAACTTGAAATTACTGTATAATCTATTGCCAGTAGGAAGTAATCTCTTCAAATGTGGAATATCCAATGACGATGTATGCCCAAAATGTAATATAAAAGGGGATACATATCACGCATTTATCGAAAGCAAACTAATTGAGCCCTTCATTAAACATCTAAAAGAAGAAATATTACGAGATATATACAAAGTAAAGATATTGACGTCAGTATCCAACACCTGCTCAAAATAGATTGTGAAAGTCATTGTAATTTATTCTTTACAATAGCATTTTGAACCATTTATAAATTGATTGTTAAACGAAATATAACTGGGATAGACAAGAGAAAATTTGCTTCTAAACAAATTTTCCATAGAGAAATTAAAAAAAAGATTGAAAAGTAAATCAAACATAAAGATGACCAGAAAGCTTTTACCAAAAGAACTGTAAGGTGTTATTTAAGAAAAGAAGGAAAAAAGGGGAGGGACACGAAACAATTAGTATAATTTTTATGTTAATTATGATTCAATTGCTTTGCAAAGCAAAACTTAATTTCAATTCTTATGACAATAATAATGTTTTTGTGATTATGTAAATTTGATTTGTAGTATTGTATCTTTGAATGTAACCATGTATATATAATTAATAAATCCTCTGATGTGGCAAAGAAGAAAAAATGTCCAGGGTATTGTGTCGAGTTGTCCAGGTGTGAGCTGTCTTTGTGGCGAGTTGTCTGGACCCCGAAATATAGCTTAAAATGGGCACTTATCAAAGAGCAGTATAAATATAGGTAGGAAAAGGGACACGTGTCAATAGTAAAAGTCGCAGTTATTAGAGGTGAAGAGGGGCGCTTGTTAGAAGGGTATAGATGCACTGCCTTATTACAAAGGGAAAGGGGCGCTTATCAGAGGTAAAAATGGGCACTTATGAAAAGGGGGAAGGGTACTTATTACAAAGAAAAGGGGATCTTATCTGAAGCAAAAGGGGCACCTTTCGTAGTTAAAAATGGCACTTTTGGGGTACTTGAATCAGAGGAGGGGATACTTTCCCATGCCCCTCCCTCGGAACGCTGCCTCTGATTCTTCAGTATCATTATATCTATTAACTTGTGATTTTATACCCAGGATCCAGTCTAGTCACACATTACCCTTGTTCTTTCCAAGTTGGCCACTCGAAAAACAGATAGCAAACAAATTACTTCTATTATCATGTGTCATGTTTGAGAAAAATTGAGAATTCTCCTATCCTTACTTATCATATATACTCCTAATTTCCGTTCCTTTTTTTCATAACCTACTGACATCTGTTTGTGTATGCTGGCAGCTTCGTTACAGTCTTTTTAGCTTCCGTTATTGATTTGTTTAACTGTTGACAATGGTCATCGTTTTTTTAATCATCAACTCGAAATTGTTTACCACCTTTTTTTAAGATATTTTTATCTTTCAGATACAGTTCAAATGTCACAGAGTGAAAAATATAAATGATGTCACACCTCATTTAAACAAATAAATCTTGAGCAAAATGTCGGCAACCGGCCGTACGCCTAGAGTGACTTATGATTTATTCGATTATCAGGAACATTACAGGACATACACATAATTTGACAATGTTGGAACATAAATAACAATGACACCATGAACTCTTTAACTTTTGGGGATTGCCCACCAAAACTTTGATACTATTTTTGTTTCAGGGCTCTATAGACCTAATTACAACTATAACTACTACTTCTACCACTTTAACTATATTTTGTATGTATTTTGCAATTGCGAAAAATAGTAATCAGTAATATGTATCAACGGATAATTGTCGACAGCTGGATAGTTGTCACACAAGCAGTCCCGTAATGAGAGTCCCAAATTTGACAATCAAATTGGTTTGCTGCTGCTCAGATGGTTTTTTTAAAAAATTCATAATCTATGAAAAAGCCAAACTTAAGCGTTGGTCACAACCGACGGTGCGTGTTTTTAGTCCGTACGATTTTTTGGGAGGCCACGTAGGGAAAACGTAGGGAGGGAGTAGCAAAGGCAGGGAGGGAGTACCGGTAACGCACGTCACACGCACTGGGTGAATCGGTAGCCCGAACGCAGCCCGAACGCAGCCCGAACGCAGCGAAAGTTCCTCGTGCACTAAAAGTGCTACGGTGTGTCTGCGTGTTCCCAAATCCGATCGGAGGCGGTACTTACCACGTACCGATACCAAAATTTTTCCTTTGACAAGTTCGTTTTTAATAATTGAAGGTTATAAGTTGAAAAACAAAATATTTAAAAGTTTAAATTTTCTTATCATATATGCAAAATACACAGTTTATTTGACATTTATGCAAGCAGAAAATCGCAAACTCATGTTTCATGAAGTCTCTATTCTTTGGTTTTTCAAAAGATTAATCCACAACCGATTAAAGATCGAAAGGAACTGTAAAACAAAAAAGCTATGCATTTTTGAAAACACTATTTTTATTCAAGAAAACTAAACATGTTTTATTTGAACTATGTTTAGATGCTACGATGTTATTTCAATTGATTGTGTATGATTGTTTGATTTGTTCAAAAGCATAAATTTATCAATAAATTCATTTTACAAAAAAATAAAAAATAAATAAAAAGAGATACCCAAATTTTGCCCACGTTTTTACACGTAGACAGCACGCACTTGCAAGTACGGCGGGATGTGACCACCGCATTAAAGGGGAAATCCGTCTGATATTAAGTTAGTTTTTACAAAGGCAGAAAAATTAGAGAAACTGGTCAGTGAAAATTTGAGTTAATTCCTCATTGAAAATGATAAAGTTATGCATTTTTTAAGTTGCGATCAATCAAACTGTGACGAATCTTTTCTATCTAGAAGAATTGCACTCACATATTTACTCTAAATATCATTATTGAAAATATGTTTCTATAGAACCCCTGTATGGAAAGAAAAAAAATAGTCCGAGGTCAAAGAAAATGAAAGTTTATGAAATGTATGCACAGACCAAATTGAAAAGGAGCACGCACGTCACAGTGATTGTAATTGTTATTTCACCGTGTTTCTTCAACTTCTTTATCTGTAGGGAAATATGGAATTTTGAAAGTGGCAAGGATTTGTTTAAAAGAAATTTAAAAAACTGTACATAATCAATACAAAGAAACATCAAAATGTTTTTTTTAATAAAGTAAAATAGAAAGAAGACTTTTCATCTAAAGATTTAACATAGAATCCTGCTATGTATAATCCTCACGTTCAATAACCAAGCAATTTCAAACTATTTGTGCATCCGCAAAACATGATAAGTCAAGTTAAAACTACAGGTATATTGAACAATAATAGTTTTATGTTGTCTCAAAAACCCACAAGGACAAATATATGTACAGATTGTTTGAATCATCTGAAAATAGACTTAATAAACGAATATAATTAATTGTACAATCAAATGACAGAAATCATAGTGAAAGAGTTCCCCTTGCTTGACCAAAACGATGTTTATCTGAACTATGAGTTCTGAACAGTAGCTTTTAATATTAATCAAACGTGCCACACAGTCTGTCTCTTAAAACGAAGGTCTTGTTTACAAAACTTGAGACGAAATAAAAATGAAATTGTTTGAGCACACAAACACACGCACGCACACACACAAACGGACACACACAATTGGTGATGATCGACTTGATTTGAACGTCCTGTCATGCAATTATCTCCACAGAGGGACCCAGCTGTAACAAAATGGGCGCCTGTCAAATCAGGACCTGAATAACGAAGGCTCGAGAGCGTCCGGGGGCTCCGCCTCCAGGATCATGGCGGGAGGACTATCCATACAACCCACCAGGTGCTATAAGGAGGGAGCTGAACCCCATCCAGAAAGATAGAAGTGGTTCCCAAGACAACCCTCTGTTGTATAAAATTGTCCTCGGGAACGAGTGTGTTTCTATCGCTCAAGACGGTTACCCTGAAGGTTCTTAATTGCCAAAACTAAAGTCTCTCAGGTTTGTCGGTATCCCCAAGTTTAAAGGCGTGCCCTCCGATGCCCATGGACTCGAACCAGAAGGGCTATAGAATGCCTACTATTATTATCATTATTATTATAGTTTTATACATTGCCTCTGAATTTAGTGTTAATCTTTAGTCGCATGCGAAATTCAAAAGTTCAAGTCGATGATCTGGGCCCTGTCTTATAAACAGTTACGAATGATCCAAATCAAAAGTAAGTCCTGTATTCAATCGCAAGTTGCAGTCTCCCATTGCTTATAAAAGTTGTGATTGATATCTCTTAATAAGACGGGCCCTTGTGGACAAATTATTATTATCATTATAATTAATGTTTTTAACATCATTATTATTATCATTATTATTATAAATAATATTCTTGTTGTCGTTATCGTTATTATCATAAATTTCATTAGTATTATTCCTATTATTATCAATTTTATAATTTTTTTTTATCAGTACCAACGAACTGTCTCCTATCTCGTATGTACATAGTTGCAATTGATATGAACTCTTTATACGACGGGGTCCTGTTACGACAAAGCACTTTCATTGTTATCATTATTATTAATATTATCACAATTATTGTTATTATTATTACTATTATTGTTGTTGTTGTTATCATTATCATCCTTATCATCATTATCGTTTTCATTATTATCCTTATTATTATTCTGATTATTATCATTTTCATCATCATCATCATCATCATTATTAGCAGTACCAATGAACTGTCCTGTTCCAGGATACCTACTTGTCCACTTGCCGGTGGTCTCTCCTTTTCGATCAAGGCAATTCTCACTGAGGGGGCGGAAGAACTTTTCCCATCCCTCCTCAGCATAGTCCCACCCCTTGGACTCAAGGATGAGCGTTCTCCCAGTGCCGTATGCCATTATCATGCAGAACGACAAATGATGAGTCTGGCAACCGAAGCCGCATCTCTCTTTAAAGTTGCACACGATCTTTTTGGCCTTGCTACAATCTGGAGGGTTCTGGGTAAAAAAGATTAGGAAGGTGAAATAAAAATTGTCCCCTTCTATTTACTCTTCCACATGGTTCCTTTATTAAAAATCAATCAGAGAGAGAGGGAGAGAGAGAGAGAGTGAGAGAGTCTATTAGGAGAAATGAGTATGGTAAAACCGGTCATTCAAAGATTTTTTGTTGTTCTTCTTTTAAATACATTTTTGAGGCACTTCGTGATCATTTTGAAACACAATTGTTTTAGGGCTTCAACGTTATATCACATCACAGACACTGATAACATGTAGGGCTATGCCTCTCAGATTTAACATTAGTAAACGATGCCTTTATTGAAAATGTTGATCCTTTTCCCCATTCGATAGTGCCTATTATTGCCATACAGTCGACTGCGACTGCGCAGGAAAAAGGTAGTGATAAAGAAATGCTATTCAAAATCAATTCAGACCAGTGCTTCTAAAGAAAGAAGTTGGGGTTGTAGAAAAAGAGGACCAGCCTAGATAGGTCAATGGCCTTTTCTGGTCCCTCACATCCCTACTCCACCCATCAATCATTTTTAGTGTTACTGTTGTTGTTTTATTTGTTCTTATTATATTTTATATATATTGCATTTTGTATAATTGTATTTTGAATTTTATAATGATGTTTTTATTGGATGTGAAATAAATTGAACTTGAACTTGAAGAATCCAAACATGCAGCTGCACTTTCAATTTACACATGCATTCGTTCATAGAACACATGACTGTGTGACAATTATACCCCATTCACAGTGGTTTTGAAATTTGTAGCGGCGTTGTAGCGGAGCGGCGACACCGCCATAACACCACTACAAATGCATTCACAGTAGAAAAGTTATCCCGCTGCAGCAGCGGGATAAATATCATGTACCCATTCACGCTGCAGCGGGTGATTTTTATTACCTCCGTAACAAACACGTGTATGCATGGCTCATGACCCGCAAAAGGTAAACATGTCAAGTTGCTTTTTGTATCCTCGATCATATTACTTTTTAAAAAACTAGCATTTTTATTGCTTCCAGTCAGAATATTTTAATTTTTTGAAGTGTGAAATATTTTTATTTGGATAATTATAATATCTACATAATAATAAAATCAATTTGAATCCACTGGTTACTTTATTTCTATTTCACTTTATGTTCCTCATTGCTGGAGAAAAGAGGTCAGTGATAGGTAAGTAAACAAATCACACGTGTTTGTCGCGGTGTTATAGCGGAGAGCCTTCACACTGAGTAAACACCGCGACAGCAGCGGGACTGTCCCGCTGCTGTAGCTAGGCGAACCTAGCGATAGTTTGTCGCGGCGTTATCGCGAGGCGGTGTTATCCCGCGATAGTTTATAACGGGTCCGAGCCTTCACACTGAAGACAACACCGCGACAGCAGCGGGACAGTCCCGCTGCTGTCGCGGTGTTTGAGGCCACTGTGAATGGGGTATTAGCTTGGAAGATCTACATCTCGAACATAAATACAGATTTCTTTATTTGCCATATCCCTGTACCTCTTCGAAATATTTCTCCAAATAACAAATAAAAAATGGAAAAGACAAAGTAACAGTTTCAGTCAAGAGTACTTTGTACACCCTCGCCAATGTTGATTAAAGTTGATTCTAATCCATGCTCTCTTCGTATAGAAGAGACAACATCAGGTCCAATTGTAAACGTCAGTGTTTTAATTTCTTTAGTAGAATTCTTTTTCCTTTAGTTATTGACCTCTTTTAATGAAATCATATAATAAATGTATATGTTCATCTATCACGACTAAATGAGAAAAAAGGGCAATCGCGACGACTGTCCGTTTATAAAGTTTTCAATACCCTATTATTTTGCTCTTCGTTAGAAATTATGTTCAGTTGCAGGCATGGTACTATTCAAAAAGGGGACGCCAAGACTATTTAAATTGACTTTAAAATATTTTCGATCATGTTTTCGGTAGACCATTTTCCTGATGATATATTTTCTTACATAAAGATCTAGAGACAAATTGGCCTAACTCTTACTACCTGAACGAAATGAAGTCTCTGCTGTATAAGATTTGAGAGCTTCTTCAACTCATTTTGTTTCCATGATGAATTTCCATCTCCTCGACTCGTAGTGTTGTCATCCGACATGATGTACCTGGGCAGAAATTCAAAAGATTTTTCATAGGTGATAAAAATACCTTATTCCTTTATCAGAAGACCTACCAAATAATGAATTAACAAAGACCACGTACATTTAGATAAGGTCAATAAGTTTATTGGACACAAGAATTAGAAGTCGAAACCTGTACTTTAATTAAAGGAAATAGGCAGAACAACAGAGTAATTTTCCGGGGGCTGATTCTCTAGGGGGTAATTGTCCTGGAGGGGGGGAGGGGGGATAGTTATCCGGGGAATAATTTTCCGGGGCGGTGATTTTCCAGGGGGTAATTGTCCTGATATGCATCTGAGAAATCGTTCTCTTTCTCTCTCTTTCTCTCTCACTCTCTCTCTCTCTCTGTCTGTCTCTGTACGTCTGTCTGTCTCTCTCTCTCTCTCTCTCTCCCCTCTGTCTCTCTCTCTCTCTTTCTCTCTCTCTCTCTCTCTCTCCCTCTCTATTTCTCCATTTCCTTCTCTAATGCCATTTCCCCAGCAATTCTTTGTCTAATCAAGGTAGTGGATATTGAGTTTTGCAGGGGTTGGGTAGTTCTCCCTACCTATGTGTTGTCAATATCTCGAAGATAGAAAGAAAGAGGCTTGGCGAAATGAGAGAACGGTTAATTACTTTTGTTCTTGGGCATGTTTCTTGATGTCTTTGTTCTGTAAACTGTTACTGTAGAGCTCCTTGATAGGTGAGCTTTGCTCGGAAGGCTCACTGTGCTGGTTAGACGAAGGAGATTTGCCAAGTACGATGAAGCAGACGATAAGCAAGGCTGTCGTCATCGACAGCATCAACTTGAACCTTTTGTCCATTTATCACGGCTATCCCTCGCTAGGCAATCAAACGTAATTCTGCTTTCTGCATTATAGATTAATATAATTACATAGACAGTGTTAAATGTATCACAATAATGTCAAAGGTAATTATCGTGTCACCTCTCTTGAAAACAGAAGGTCGTTTTTTTCTCTCTCTCCCAGTGGCGGATCCAAGGGGGGGGGGGCCGAAACGGCCGCGCCCCCCCCCCCCCCCTATTGGCGGCGCCAAAAAAAAAGAGGAAGGAAAAAAGGAGGAAAAGAAGAAGAAAAAAATGAGAAGAGAAGAGAAAAGAGAAGAAAAGAAAAGAAAGAGAGAGAGAGACAGAGAAAGAGAAAAGAGAAAGAAGAGAGCTAGAAGCCGGGTGAGAAAGGAAGAAAGACAAGGAAATGACACTTAGTGACAGTAACGACGAAAACGGGAAAAACTTGGGGGGGGGGGGGTATGTGCGTGTGAAATGCGCGCGCATGGGGGGGGGCTAATTTTTAGGTTGTGCAAAACTGAGTCGGAATTCAGCTTATTTTCAAAAAATTATAAGCATGCTTGTTTATTTTAAGCCGTAGTGCCTAAAAAGGTTAGTAAAAAATACTTCGCGTCCGGCCCCTCCAAAGAGCGGCAGTATGGTGATCAGAACATTTTGGTTATTCCAGAAGTCATGGGAGCCTTTATTGAAGAGGGGGCCGGCCAAATACGTCAATGGCAGTGACGGTAACGATAGATGAGGGAATAAGGAGGAAGGGGTGCACATAATTGAGAACTGCAAGCGTATTGGGGATGACCATCTTATCATTTTAGGTTGTGTAATCTGGATCAGAATCCAGCATAATATATTTATTAAAAAAGGGTTCATGTTAAAGCACTCATGATATATCTTTTGTATTCATTGGATAACAAATTTCAAAGTTAAAGGTAATACAAAGTTTTGGTATTGGATCATGAATTTGGTTCAAATGAACATATTGGAAGCCTATATGCGATCCTACAATATTCAGTGATCGTTGTCGTGGTTAAAATCTAAGTCTAAAGTTATGAAATTGTAAATAATAAACTCTTTATGTTGTATAGCTCCCTCTCAAGATATTAATTAAGCTTTAAAACAATGTTTCTTGTCTAAAATCGACCAATTAGCTATTCCCGTTTGGAAATTACATATACATATACAACTACATATATACAACTACATATTCTGGAATTTTCATGGTCGCAGTTACCATTGTACGGCCGTAGCCGCAATTTGAAATTTATCAAAATTTACCGGGAGCATCGGAAAATTTGTATATTCAAATTTTCTCAAAAGCAGAAGTGTTTTAGGGGCTAAATTTTCTAGTGCTTATTCTACATCCACAGGGGCATCCAAACATATTAAAATTGTAAAGAATCACTATCCACCCAATTTTCAAAATTTCCCAAAACTTTGTATTACCGGTACCTTTAAAGTGACGTGGCGTGAGCCTGCCCCCTTTCCAAAGCCTGTGCCCGCTGGTAGTTACCGGTACGGTGCTTCTAATATGACCTTGTCGGTATTGGGATCTTGAATTAATTAAATAACGGTCTGTGCGATTTTCAAATTTCCGCCCCCCCCCCCCCCCCACAATCGAAATGCAAATCCTTGAAATTAACTTTTTTTACTACGTCCGCAGTTTCATAAAAATAAGATGGTTCTGAATTTTGCAGGAATTTAAGGTTGAAAGATTATTTTGAAAGTAAGTATGAAAATCGAAGACAAAAAAGAAATTCAAAGCCAGGGAAATACATTGATTTCCTAGATACTTTTAGTTGCTGTCATCCCTTTTCGGAATTGATTGCGAATGTGGAAAAAATGACTCCGCCGGGAATCGAACAAGGGTCACTGGCTATTAGAACGCCAATGTCTTGACCACTGGACCAAGGAAACGGGCCAGAATATAACAGGAATAATACATTTACATTCATATTTCAAAATTATGATTGCGACATATAATTACGGCAACACTTATACAGTAAAATGAACTCTTAACGATTGAAGAAATCAAATTTACACTTTATCAGCACAATCATATGAATATCATGATACAAAGGAGATATGATCGACATGATTGATATTACAGATCATGATCTAAATATGATATCTTTATGTTATTGCATTCATGTGATATCACCTGACTTAACATTGCACGAAATGATAACAAAGTATTTATTATAAGATACAATATCATGTGATGCAAGAATATAATGTTTTTTATGAAAAGATATGATATGATTATTATTATGATACTATATCATGAAAAGATACGATGTGATATAGTATTGATGTGACAAGGTATGATTATGATAAGAAAAACAATATGTTATTACTATGAGAATATAAACTGTCGCTCATAATAAATTTTATTTTTTACCCCAATTTATGGAATTATTTTGACAATGATTTATTCCTATTAGATCCAGATAATAGTATACATTCTCAGATATTATTGAATAATGATTTGCCAGTGTTTGTTTTGCGTGACTGCTAGAGCATGTGTATGCTAATATGCCTATCAACTAGGGGACCTACGCCCTTAAGTCATAAATGACAGTAATGAGGATTATTGCCCCACAAAAGGGCACTAATATGGCACATCGACACGGTTTTGATCCTGGGGCCTCACAGTTACGAGGTCATTGCTTTGCCACTGAACCATGACTGTACGCAGCGGGGGATAGGGTAGGGGGCAGTTCCCACAAATAAAAAAAAATAAGAAAATGCAATAAATTATCAATAATTCATTGCATTTTACCCCGGTCCCCAACATGAAAAAAAATCCTCTGTACGGCCATACATTATGGCTTAAGGCATGGGCACATGTCAGGGTCCGAGGAACGGCGGGGCTTGGGGGCTCAAGCCACCCCCTCACTAGAAAAAGTATGTGTAAGATATTAAAATAAAAAGAAAGGAAGAAAGAAAAAATGTGACCTGCCAGTGCCACAAAATTAATGAGGTATCAAAATATGCCCATCTGACCGCAATTAAATCATCTGACCATTATTAAATGCCTAAAACCCTGAGCTTCATGGGGCTCAGTCCCCTGGACCCCGGGCTAATTAGTGATAAGGTATAAATAAGGTATCAAAATATGCTCATCTGACCGTTATTAAATTCCTAAACTGAACTCCTGAGCTTCCGAGGGGTCTGCCCCTTGACCCCCGCTGGGGCTTTTCCCCTGGACCCCAAGTAAAATTACGCTTCCCTCGCTTCTCTCGCTACGCTCTACCTGATCGTAAATACTTTAGCCCCTCCCCCACCAACTTTGAAAAACGTTCTGCGGGGCCTGCATGTAACAGTGGTGGTGATGCGGATTTGTTAAAAATATTTATATTGTATTCATATGAATACGGAGTAAAATGAGCACGTTGTTATTTGTAAGCGAACGAGAGTGATAAAGCAATACAAACATGTAAAGATATAAAGAAAGTGTTTAATATATTATGACAGTCATGAAACACATAAAGAGCACCATAAGTTAATTGTTGTGGATTTCCAAATAAATGGAAGTTCACATTGCAATATTAGTTGTAGCGAACAACTCGGCACGATCGTATTTTAAGCGAACCGTTAGTGATGAAGTCATTCATGAATGTAAATATGTAAAGATATAAAGAAAATGTTAAATATATTTTGACAGTCATGAAACACATATAGAACACCACAAGTTAATTGTTCTGGATTTCCAAATAAATGAAAGTTTTCATTGCAATCATAGTTATAGCAAATAACTCAGCACGACGAGCACGTTGGCATTTTATAAGCGAACAAGCGTGATGAAGTAATTCATGAATATAAATATGTAAAGATATAAAGAAAGTGTTAAATATATTTTGACAGTTATGAAACACAGATATAACACCACAAGAGTTTAATTGTTCTGGATTTAAAAAAAAAATGGAAGCTCTCATTCAATCATGGTTGCAGCCAGAGCTGTTTCTTTATTTACTCCACAGGCATTCAAATTTCATTTTTTGCAGTTAATGCGGGGTACAGCCTCTCTTTCCACGCAAATTTAAAAATTACATCCTGACCGAATATGCATTTTTTTAATGTCTTATCTCGCGTATTTTGGGGATAAATAACACTTTCACAACATACAAATGCTCAATTTTTCGCTCGCTCGCGAAATTGTGAATCCAGAAAATTAATATATTAGCAAGTGGATTCAGCCCCCCCCCCCCCCTGATGAAAATGTAAACAAAATTGCTCGCACATAACTTAAACTTGGGGAATGTTGATATCGGACAAGAGGAAAAAAAAGAAAAAAAATTGTACCCGCTTGTATGTACCGGTACTGTGCTTTTAATATAACCTTGTCATTATTAGCAAGTCGAGTTGAAATAACGGTCTGCGCCATTTTCAAATATCCGGCCCCCCTATTCGAAAATCCTGGATCGCGCGCCTGCTAGTCTCCCCCCTCCTCATTTTTCTTCTTCTTCTTCTTCTCCTACTTCTTACTTCTTCTTTTCTCCCTCACCTCCTTGGTCCCTTCCCTCCTTCTCACCCTTATTCTTCTTCTACTACTTCTTCTCCTCGTCGGTTGGAAAGGGCACTCTGAAGGAGAGTCACTCTCGGAGGGCACATTATCGCCCCGCATTTGTGTAAGGCTTATTTCACTTGGATATGTAAGTACTGAGAAGAAGGTTTGCATATCAAAGAACTTAAACAATGCTCATGATTATACTATTAACATAAGAGCTGGTCAGCTCCTGCATGGTAATGACAACGATTGTAACGGAATTTTCAATAAAAAGTACACCCTATATTAATTTGTGTTTCGTATATGTCTGCTAACACACAACTTGTTAAGTAAACAATTAAAAATAGATATACATACAACAAATACATTGGTACATTTTTTTAAAGGATGCTCGCTAGGTAGCAATCAGGATCAACGTTTACCGTTAAGTACTAATCTCGGATATAATTATTTATGTCTAATTAAGACACATACTATTAACATAAGAAGTAAGAGCTGGTCAGCTCCTCCATGTTAATGACAACGATTACAACGGAATTTTTAATAAAAAGTAGACCC